ACTTATTTAACATATTTTGGAATGTCCAATGACTTATTTGTTCCAAAAAATTGTCCAAGAACTTATTTAACATGTTTTGGAATGTCCAAGGACTTATTTATTCCAAAAAAAAGTCCAAGGACTTAATCATTCCAAACAAAAAAATCCATTGGTTTTTATTGTATTTTTCCCTAATTTAAACACAATATTTAAATATAAAAAGCAGGGTAATAAATTAAACAAGAAATTGTCTTAGAAAATTTAAATAAATTGGAAATAAAGAACGATCCCATGAGCCATGACTTAAGCAAAGAATGTGGAGGTTACAATTGTCATTTCATATATTGTACCATCGTACTTTCTATTTTGACACAAACTATCGTTAGTCCATTAATACGGTACTGTATGCAACAATTTACCTGGTAAGCGTTTACTGTGGTAAGAGTTGTCGCCTTCACTTACCGGGTAAGACTCTTGGTTCTTGTCTCGCTCTTACTGGGTAAGATTCTTAATCCTTACCATATTCATCCAATAAGGTAAAATGACTTGGTGTTCACTTACCCGAATAAGCGTTTGGTAAACGGCCCATAAGTCGAGTGTTAACAGAAATAGTCTCTTTATATGTCTAGTCCTTAGGGATGCAAATTGTCCATTTTACTTTCTTTAGACCTAAATAAAGACCGACATTAAAGTATATCTTAATGAATGCTTCTAGTCTTGTTACAAAACTTCAAAGGCTCACCATATCTCAAAGGAACAAAAACATTCATCAAACGTTGTTATTAATCTCAAAAATGACAAGTTCGTTGCAAAAACAGTTCTAATAATTTGAGGCGAAGATGTAGAGGGACTTCAAAAACACGGAGTTATAAACCCTCTACCCCCTCTTTTCCCATTCGTATCTGAACCGGACCATAGGTTGGACACAGTAGGAGGCATGATTCGACCATCCACAAACAATGAGTTTGATGACTCGCCAAAAGCTTGAGCCAGTGTCAGCTCATCAGCTCCATAAATAAAAGGGCTATCCTGGCCTCGTTTGTGATCCTGAGCAGCTCTTCTTTCCACTTCAAGCAAGTGACCAAGAGGTACGATGTTGTTGTTTGAGACATCCACAACATCAATCTTGCCTCTTTGACATAAACAAAAACCAAAACACCATGATTTTGATTTAGAGTTTGATTTTCTGTTGGATCCGAAAGCTAACGTTTCTGAGAGCATTTTCCCTCGTCTTAGAGATCTTCGTGAGAGCTCTACAATGCTCGAAACACCCATGAGGTTCCCTAAAGTGATGCTCCTATCATGAAAGAAAGATCCAGTCGACTGCATGACATTTAACATCATTATTTTCAACTGAGCTCATCATCACCTGTATATGATCTATACGTATACTGATTATGACTATAAACTATGTGATTGGAGATTGAAATATATCAGGTCTGAATTTTAAGTTTCTATAAACTCAATTTAAATTATACTGAATATCTCTCCTACACCATAAATTCTAAGTTTTTCAAGACGAACAATCTTCTACTCAATATACCTTTTCCAAATTTAATTTAATATAATTTTTATAATAAATATAATATTAATAAAATAAAAATACTTTATTAACCGAAACGATTTTCGAAATTAAAAAGGTGATATTTCACTTGTCTCAAGGTGGAAAAGTATTTGCACCAAAAGAAGACATGGCCACATGAACCAAACTATTAAAAAACAAAAACTTAACATATTAAACATTAATTAAATTATTAAAATTAGAAGGGTACTCACATAATGTAGCAAGATACATCTCGATTTTAATGTTTCATTTTATCTATTTTTGTCTCAGTCGATGTTATAATACGACTTTAAGTGGTTTTGGAAAAACGATAATGTTTTTATTTTTGAATAAAATAAAAATATGTAGATATCATAAAAAATTGAAAAAATATAATGATATTAGTACCAAACTAACTATTTAAAATTTCTCTTTTTTTGTATATTTTTTTTAATTCATTCTTTTATTTTTGATTTAATAATATAATTTTTTATAAAGATAATAATTAAGTATTTTTTTAGAACTCAACGATTATCTTAATTATATTTTCGATTTTTTATATTTAAAATAAGATTTTGAGGGTTGTTAATTTTCCATTTTTAAGTAATATGTATCAATAAACAATACTTTATGTATAAAAAATGGTTTTTAATAGTTTTTGAGAGTTTTTATTAGTTATTACCTGGTTATTTATATACTACTTGTTTTTTATTTAACAACTAATTTATTCACCAATAACACTTTCAGTTAACAATAAAGTTATCAGTTAGTTTGTTAAATAAATTATCATATAACAAATATTGATATTTTATTATAAATTTATACTCCAGTTTTCTAAATCAACGTGTACTCATATAATTTTTCAATCAATAGATTATAAAGTCTATAACAAGTCTCTTCGATTGCTTCAAAAGTTAATTAATTATAAGATATATTAGATAATAATTAACAAGAAATATTTAAATTTATCAAATAACATGCTTGACAATTTTTTTTAAATGATATATCTATACTATATTATAAAACATTTGACAAAAACTCTTAAAAACTACTTTTTATGCATAAAATACTGTTTATTAAGCATGTTACTTAAAACTGAATATTACAAGTAGATTATGTGTAAGTACAACTTATTAAAACTTCATATCTGAATTCGTATAACTAACTGTATATAAACATAATCAAATACAGGAGAAACATCTCATTTAAATATAAAAAATCTAAAATATAATTAGGATAATCATTAAGTTCTAATAGAATACTTAATTATTATCTTTATAAAATGTTATATTATTAAACCTAAAATAAATTATATAAAAAATGAAAACTTTTAAATAGTTGATTTGATATTAAAATTGATATATATATTTTTTTCAAATTTTTATGACATCTTTAATTTATATTTTATTCAAAAATAAAATCATTAATGCTTTTTAACAACACATAAAATCGCATTATAATATCGACTGAGACAAATAAAATAGAACATTAAAATCGAGATGTGTCTCGCTGCATTGCGCGAATATTCTTCTAGTATTTTATAAATTACTGTTTATTTTTCTTAAATTTTTTATTTTTTTCTTTGGAATTTTTCATATGAATAATGTTTAAGGGTTTATTTTAATTTATAAACCTAGGAGATCGAGGTGCTGAAATATGCCACTGACTCCTGCCAGTTTTAAAGGACAAAAGAAGCATCAATGTTTAATATATATATATATATATATACACACACAGACATGAAGGACCAAATGAGAAGATGATTAAAATAAGATAATATAAAAACGATCAAATCACATGCGATTTTATATTGAAATCACATATGATTATAGAATGTGACCTAGGTCATGGGCGGACCTACCATGGTGATTACGGTGGCAACTGGCACGTGCCACCGTATTATCTCTCTGTCGAAAGGTAAAAAAATTTAGGTTCGTGAAAGGTGCAACCATATTAATTTGTTATGCGCCACTGTATGTATTTTGAAACTACAATGATAACAAGTTTTATTTGGTAGAGTTGGTTTGCAAGGTTTTTATTCAACTCCAGACCCAAATTCAAATCTTGTTAGTGTCATTTTCTTAGTCAAATATTGCCACCGGTTGAAAAAAAATTCAGTATATTTGTTTCTTATAGTCAACCGGTGCCATTGTTTGAAAATTTTTCACTATAGTTTTTTTTTTCTTATAGTCAAATGGTGTCATCGTTTGAAAAAAATTCTGGGTCCGTCCCTGACCTAGGTCCTGGACAAGGTCACGCTTAGTGACATGTGATTTTACAATTGAGTTTTGTGTAAAACCAAATGTAATCTGACCATTCTCATGTTCTTTTATTTAATAATTGTTTCCGTTTAAACTGAATTCTCTCACTTCCTCTAAATATAGAATAAGAATGTTGGTAAATAATAGTAAGAATGATTTTTGTTTCTTCTAATATGTTGAGTAATGCTTCATTATAATTCCATAGTATTTGAAAATAATCTATTTTTTATTATATTAAATTATATATCAGAGGCTGACCTAGAAATGTTTTCAAGTGGTGACACAGTTTAATTATAAGAAACAAAAATATGAATATTTCTCATAAAATTATCATTTAACTGTTGATTAGTTCTTTACTTTTCATATGTGAGGTCTTGTATTCCAATTTCTTATTGCAATTTTTATTTCAGTTAAAAATTAAAAACTAAGAAAATAACACAACGAGATTCAAATCTACCCTTGGGGTGGGAGAAAAGCCATGCAAAACAACTATATCAAGAGAAACTTGTGTCATCATTGTAGTTTCAAAAAACACTACAGTTACACACAACAAAATGATATGGTGACACCTTTCACAATCTTATAGTTTATGACATCATGACGGAGAAACGAAACAGTAACCCATACCACTGTATCAAATAAAATATCATATATCATTAAAGATTTTCATTTTAATTTTCATATGTGACATGGTATTACCATTAACCATGCAGCCCTAATTTCCAAAACAATACTTTTCCTTTTAAATTTATGATGTTCCGATAAGTTCGTACCTATTTTTTTAATATAAAAATGATATTTATCTATTAAATAATAATATTCTCAGGGGTTGTTTGTTTACTTCTTAATAGTTTTATTAAGAGGCAACATCTGAATCGTTAAAAAGTGAATCTTGTTTGGCAAAAAAATTCTGCCTCTTAATAGTTCTAAAAACCATTAACTATTAAGAGCCCTAATTTCATTGTATACAATTACCAAACAATTATATTTCATTTTGCATTATATCATAAAAGCCTCTTAATCATTCTGACCAGTTAATTATTCTACACCAAACCATTCAACAAATTAACATTATTATTCTCAAATAGTGTCGCCAAAGAATACCTCTGATCGGCAGAGACTCAAGAAACTGCTTTGCAGAGGCATATCCCATCAATCATCAACCTAAGACTTACTATCTCCAATTCTGAAATCCCTTTCTTCAGGAATTTATCCTTTAATAACTTGTAAAACATGCATTAAAACATGTAATTTTCTCTGAGATTAGTAATTTTACATCTGGAGAAAAAAATCCAATATTTTTATGTAAATTTTGATGACAACAATAACCCATTTATTTAAAATAAAAGAAAGAAAAAAAAGAAAGCAGCAGCAAGTTGGCATGAGACATACCTCAGTGTCTAAATCTGAAGAAAAATCTGAATCAGACGAAGGTGACCCACTGAGGAAAGCACTGAACGAGAAAGCATGGGGTCTCGACCTGCGATTCAGAGGCTGCAACCCTAAGGGCCATCCACTTTCTTCCTGTAACAAATCAAATCACCGAATTCATCAAAACACACACAGAAAGAAAAGCCTCGTAAGTTTGAATCTACATACCTGCTGAGCCATTCAGATGTAATACTACTGGTACTGGGGTTTGTTTGCAGAGGTTAAATGAGAAGAGTATTAATGGTGCTTAAAGGGTAAAAAAAACAAAGAGATTGATGTTCATAACACATGGTTTTCTGGCTTTAATAAGTAAAGAGAAACAAAGGGGGAATGATGATGAGGGTCAAAAAGGAGGCAGTGACCATTTCTCATTATATGAAACCACTTTACCCTCGTTTAATGGGTTGTTTGTTTACCTCTTAATAGTTTCATTAAGAAGCAACTTCTGAATCATGAAGAGATGAATCTTGTTTGGCAAAAAAAGTCTGTCTCTTAATAATTCTAAAACCCTCTGAATGATTTTGTATCCTGAATTACCCTTAACCATTAAGAGCCCTAATTTCATTGTACATAATTACTAAACAATTATATTTCATTTTGCATTATATCATGAGAGCCTTTTAATCATTCTGCACCAAACCATTCAGCAATTGTCAAACAACCCCTTAACCATTTGGAATTTATAGTAACTTTTTAATAATTTTTTTAAATATCTATTTTGAGTATCTGTTATATAAATGTTATTCGTTTGCATAAATCTGATTGTCTAATTCGGTGCTTGTCCAACTTTGTTTCATTAAATTCCTTATTCCCTAGGGTGTGTTTGGTACGTGGAACATGGTGGGACATGAGAGGACATGACTAGGGGTGCTCACGGCCCGGGTTGATCGGTTTGGAGCCGTTTTAACAACCCAACCCAATGTTGGCGGTTTGAAAATTTTCAACCCAACCCAACCCAAACAAAAGTTCAACCCAACCCAACCCAAACAAAAGTTCAACCCAACCCAAACAAAAGTTCAACCCAACCCAACCCAACCCGTTCGGGTTGATCGGGTTGTGTTTAAACAATGTAAAATCACATAAAAATAAAGGAAATTTTCCTTTGAAATACGACCGACCATTCAAGATAATATGCAAATTCATCAAATATTTAGATATTACAATAAAAATGTTTAAACCAAATGATAATACATCAATCAACAACAATAGTTTTAGACGTTTCCAACCTCGATGCTTTTGCGTTCTTGACGTTGAGGTTGGTCATGTCATGATTGTCATCTACAATTCAAAGCTAAAGTTAAGGTCGGGTTCATCGGGTTGTCGGGTTGGTCGGGTTTTTTTGGGCCTGACCCGATATCAACCCAATAAGGTCGGGTTGGCTAATTTTTTTATCAATCATGCATCGGGTTACCTCGGGTTGGGTTTTTTTTTTTAAAATCCGGGTTGGGTTGGTCGGGTTCATCGGGTTTTTGAGCACCCCTAGACATGACACACTTGTCCCATGTTTGGTGTGTTTTAAGTGGAACTAAGTGGAACTAACCTAGACACGGGTGGGACACGGGTGTTCACCCTTACCCCCCTGGAACTAAGTGGAACAAGTTTTTTTTTACAAATCTACCCTCACAGTCCGCCTTCATCTCCTTTCTTCCACAGTCGCACCCCACCTTCTCCTTCATCAATCGGCGACGGGAGTTCTACCTTCCCCTTCATCTCGACTTGCTCATCCTTCTCCTTTCTTCCCCATCGCTACATACACAGTCCGCCTCCATCGCTATCCCTTCTCCTTCATCAGGTACACGATTGCCCTAATAAATCGGATGTTTGCTTTATTGCCCTAAATCGGTTGTTTGCTATGTTTGGAACGATTTATGGTTTGCTATGTTTGAATCGATTTATGGTTTGCTATGCTTGAATCGGCTGTTTAATCAAGCAATCCCAAACCAAGAAAAATTGATTTACTGCTATTACATGTTTAGATGCTTAAAATACAGTATGCTTCCAAACCCGTCTTCTACACGAATTCTGTATACACAATATGCTTAAAAATCGATTCACTACTATTACATGTTTGGGATTGTTATGTTTAGATGCTTGAACATATTTTGATTGCTGCACATGGGAGCTTAAAAAATCGAATTCTGTATACACAGTATCCTTCATTCCACTTTGTTTTGTTTGTGGGATACGATATGCTTAAAAAATCAAGCAATCTCAAACCGAATTGCTGCACATGGGAGCTTCTATAATTATTTTCTTTCATTCCACTTTGTTTTGCTTTTGGTAGTTCAATTTAGAGAGGGTTTTTGCTACTGTTTTGCTTGATTTATGAATGTGAGTTTTTAATTAAGATTGATTTTGGAATTTTTTTGGTATTTTTAAATAGTATCTGTAAACATTTATATTGATTATTTAGTGAAAAAACACTAAACAGCTCACTGGGGGTAAACTGGTTATTTTAACCAGTTCTGTCATGTCTTGTCATGTCTTACCAAACGCTGAACAACTGTCCTGTCTTGTCCTGTCTGCGTACCAAACGCACCCTAAATTGTGGAACGTGGAAAGCCTATGACCGATTTCATAGCTGAAAGCCTGAAGTGAAGAAATGTGATACAATGTATAATTTCTTTCGTTATATGATGTCGTGCAATAACAGAAATGGAATGGGGAAAATAAATGACATATGGGGTTTTCTGGTTTGGTTGATTAAACCTATGTCCATGGGTACAGAGACTTGTACAATGACCTTTTCTTATATCCCATAACATATTTGGATCGAGTTTCATTTGAAAGCAAAACATCTAAAAGGATTACCCCTTCAACCTGATCATGCCTAAAGGTGGGGGAATGAGTGAAAAATCATCTGATTAAGCTACCAATCAATCCATCAAAATTGATATCCACCTGTGTAGACCAACATTTCAAATTAGAATTAAGTACGTACAATTAGTCAATTACTGATACATGATATTCAAATACTGAATAGTAACTCTTGAAGCAATATTTAACTTTTTAAAACCAAAAAATAAAGAAGTAATAAGTATGTCACTCGATGATTCATTGTAGTGGGGCCATTTGTGAATAAACTCATCAAATGATAGATAATTCCTGTAGTACCCTTTGTTGGTACCGATTAAATACCAATGATCTCCCTAAATACCTGACCTTATGAAACATCGTAGCAACATCTTCCTCGTATGAGCATTGTGCATAACAACGGAAGTATTACCTTATTTATATGTTTTTTTCTTTCTAGCACAGTTTAAGGGCTCATAGCGTAGCTTCCCTTGTTGAAACACAAAACTTAAGGTAGGATGTTATCTTCACCTTTCGTTTTTATATTACTGTGAAACTGTGATGCCATTTGCAATCATACACACACATGGACACTAGTAGATCATTTATGAGCTGAATGAAAGTAGAGACCACTGATACATGGATGAGTAACGCGTACAGATGTCTCAATATGACGAAAATTTCTTCATAATAACCTTAAAGCATGAATTTAAATCTCGTATGTACAAGTAAAACATCGTTTGATAACTAGAAAAAGTGCTAATAAAACAACACGATAATCATGTTTTAAAGAAGGTTCAATGGCCCTTTTGATGACCATGAAAAGACATGAAAGGGATCCAATAAAGAAATGTGCTTTATGATTAGGTAGTTGTCCCCGTATGGATGAGCGGGAATTTTTGGGATTCGTGTGTTGTATATTTTGTTAAATATGAATAAAATAAGACATACATTCGCAATTATGTATACGTTTCTATAGTTAAAAGACTTTAGCTTAGCATAGATGAAATCAAATCTTAATTCACTACAACAAAATTGGGTTTATAGGACATCCCTAATCTCTAAGCCTCCCAATAGACCATTTTATAGGACCAAAATATAAAACGTCATATCTAAAAGCGTTGTAATAAGTTTATATGACACTTTTGGGCGTCTTAATAAGTTTTGTAGGACATTTTTAATACAAAATGTCACATTAGCCAGGGGCGGATGTACTTGAAGCTGGTTGGGGTCTTGGGCCCCCAACAAAAACTAATTTATAAATCCCAAATTTTTTTTACTTGTATTTTTTAATTGAGTGTAATTGGGCCCCCAACATCATGAGGTAAGAGGCCCCTCTTCACTTACCAGTTTGACATTCACCATTCCACGAACGACGGGAACAATTGAACAACGAACGACGGAAACGAGAGTGAAGACTGAAGACGACGGACAACACAGCGCCACAGCGGGACAGACGAGACGAGATCACTCACGAGACTTCAGTTCATGCCACTTCTTCTTCTTCATCGCTGCGAGCCTGCGACTGCGACGCTGCCTAGTGCCTACAGCCTACTTCTTCGCGACTTCGCCTCTCGCCAGTCGCCTCTTGGTCTTGGGTAAAGATTCTAATTTTCAAATTACTTCTTTTATTTTGTAATTTATTGTTTGCTAATTGCTTATAAGTTGTAACTTATTGGTGATTTGGTGGTAAATGTTTTAGGTTAGGTATTTTATGTTAATTTTGTAGGCAATTTTGTAAGCAATTTTGTAGGCAATTTTGTAGGCAAATCAAGTGGAAATGTTAAATTTTAGGTTAATTTTGTAGGCAAATAAAAATGTTACTAAACCATTGATTTTTATCTTGTTCTTGAGTTCGAGTTTCGACTATGGGCGCGGCTGGAATCGGAGACTTGGAGTTGGAGTCACTGGATTGAAGCAAATAATTTGGGTAAAAATTCTAATCTCCAAATTCTAGTCTTTAATTTTGATTACTTCTTTGATTTTGTTGTTTGCTTGTTGGTGATTTGGTAAATGCTTTATGTTAGATTAATTTTATAGGCAATTTTGTAGGCAAATCAAATGGAAATGTCAAATGTTAGGTTAGTTTTATAGGCAATTTTGAAGGCAAATCAAATGAAAATGTCAAATGTTAAGTTAATTTTGCAAATGGAAATGTTACTTCTTTGATTTTGTTGTTTGCTTATTGGTGATTTGTTGTTTGCTTCACAATTGATGATTTGGTAAATGCTTTATGTTAGGTTAATTTTGCAGTTTTATAGACAAATAGAAATGTTAGGTTAATTTTGTAATTTTGTAGGAAAATAGAAATGTTAGGTTAATTTTGCCAATGGAAATGTTAGGTTAATTTTGTAGGAAAATGAAAATGTTAGACAAATGGAAATGTTAGGTTAATTTTGCAATTTTGTGTTAAAAAGCAGTATGCAAGACAATTAAAGATCCAAGTGTTATTTGTGAATTATATGATCAGGCAGAAGGAATAATTCCTAGTTGGTAGGTCTCCTTGGGTGCTCATCTT